TACACCACCAAAATCATCACAAAAGCCCTTCATCACCACCATCCCAGACACCCTCATCATCAACAACCATCACCAATCTCCTTTAGCGTACCTGTCCAGTCAGCTTTTCTGCGGTGCTGTTCATGTGCTTCATTTCGGGAATATAAGGATGTTGCAGACTATGAATTTTCCGAATTAACAGAAATGGTGATTGGACCTTCACAGATCAAAGCCATCATTTTGATACTATCTTAAAATCCCTGCCGCTGCATCAAAATTTGAATTGTGGTGAGGGGCTGAGGGGAAAGGATATATATATTTTAATTATATTTCAACAGTTCCAGATAGAGACAGTGCAATATCATTGTTTTTGCCTTGATTTATTTGAAATTGAGTTATTGAAAGTTCTATTCTTGTTTCTCTTTTCTGTTAATTTTATTCATGGAATTTGTTGCCCACAAAACAATTCATCCATTTCTATCCAATCATTGTCCTTGTAAAGAATTTTCCTGGAATTTCAGTTATTGGGATTTGTATTCTAGTTTATCTGTGCCAGTTAATATTGTATCCTGGAATTCGTTACCGATAAAATAATATGTTTCTTTTCTATCCAAGTCATTCATACCCGAGTCAAATTATTGACATGTTGACCTTTACTCAGAAATTGTACGAGTTTCTGGTCTTGGACCAGCTCAAAATTTTCTTGATCCTGAAAGAATTGAGCAGAGCAGTCCTTTGAGATTATCTGGTTATCATGCCAGTGGGGGCCCAATGGATTTTGAGGGATGGTCAGGGATGCATACAGAGGTACTGATTTTACCTGTCTTATAGATATTTACATTCCCTAGATTCTAATGGTGCAGCTCTTTTTTTGAATTAAATGGATCTTTCTGATGCTTACTTTGGAGCCTTTTTTTTATACCTTTTACTTTGTTTAGATTTGTTTTCTGATGACGACTGCTGGAACTTCATATCTTTGTTCATTTAATTATTCGGTTTATTAAAAATCAGAATAACATTTTCTTTGATAAAATTCTTTAACATCAGCTGTACAGAACTTACGAGGATCGAGGCTCTTTTTATACCCTTGAAAGTTTATTTTCTTCTACCCACCAATATATGCACTCAGTACGTTTAATGATTCATTCTTAAACCCAAAGCTCCATTTTAGTACGAAGTGTCATAGATTTTATTACAGATTCCAAGAATACCCCTGCTAATGTGTTCACAAAACACATTAGCTGCTGCTTTCTAGAATCACATCTGTGAAAAATATTATTTTTCTAAGATTTTAACAATCCATATAATTAACTTTGTTAAATAAAACTTATATTTTCTCTACTAGGTAAATTATCTTATATAAGTGAAAATATCCAATGGTTTTGCCCCACATGATTGCATAAAATCAAATAAATAAGTCGATGCAAATAATTTAATGGTCTAGAAGAATTTCCTTCACACCTGTAAAATCATCTTTTATCACAATAGTGAAAGTGATCAAGCCGAACCAATTCTAATGTGGGAGACTACATATTCTTTGTGTATCTATTACGTACCACTTCTTAATCTTTAAATAAAGATCTGAAATGTGAATTTTATTGTCAGGAAAGTGGATATCCTCAAAGAATGGGGTTTCTTCAAACATCAACAGCTGGTTGGAATGGAGCTCCGGGTATTATTGCCAATCCAGTTCTAAAGAAAGTTATTAGAATGGATGTTCCAGTCGGGAAGTTTCCCAATGTATGTGATTTTAATGTAGTTTAATTTCACATTGAAAATTTGTCGACCTTTCTGATTAATCTTTTTTTTCTTTTTCTTTTTTTCCTGTTGATTCAGTTCAACTTTGTTGGTCGTTTATTAGGGCCACGGGGGAATTCCTTGAGAAGAGTTGAAGCTACAACTCTGTGCAGAGTTTACATACGAGGTCGTGGCTCAGTAAAAGATTCCGTAAAGGTATGATGCATGTTTCCATATATTTTATTTGATTATGGTTAGCTGTGTCACATAATTCACTGCGGTTGCTATCAGCGGTTTCCCCATTCAATACTCAGCTTAAAATGTTTGCTCATCAGGGAATATGACTACTAACTTGTTTTGCTTGATTCCTTTAATAACAATAATAACAGAGTATGTTTCAACTACACATGCACAATTAAAAATATCTCTTGGTTGTTTACTTTTCTTATGTTTGATTCTTGCTCAACATGACATGCTACAGATGTATGAAAAGTCTTGTGGTCCAAAGAATATTATTTTAAGATGTAATCATTCTGTAACTAAAGTATATTGCAAAAGTGATTGTCTTGTACAAAAAGTGGGCTTGACAAAAATTATGGAATGCTGCCACAGGTGAGAAAATCTTACTGGTCATCAGTTAAGGCTTTGCAAACTGACAAGCTTTTGAAGTTTTCTACGACTACAAGAAAATAGTCTTGTGCGGGAATGTGGAGGGGTGGGTGGGGGTTGATTGAGTGCTTGCAAATAAATTTAATTTCATGTGGAGAAAACCAATTAAACATTCCTTGATTGTTAACATCACTTTTTCCCATAAAGTTAATAGTATCTAATGCAAATTTTAGGTTGTTTTACTATTTTAAAAAAAAGATGCGGTGTTTACTTCTGAACTAGGATCAAATCTGAGGTGCAAAATATATCTTTAATGTAGACAATAAAGTTAAGATTGATTTCTACATCTCTTAGCTGGATTAAGAAAGACATTTTTATCCCTGAACATTAACCTATCTAAACTAGAATTATATCAAATTTGAGTTCTGTGTCTTTAAACTTCTACCTTTTTCACCCCATATGATTGATGAACAAAATTGAGTTGGTACATGTAAATTGTTGGTAGTCCTTGGCTATGATATAAATGAAATTACAAATACCTACTCCTTTATGCTAGTTTTTGTTTAACTTAACCTTTCTGTTTGAAAAGAGTGCTATTGAGTGTAGACTCATTTGTTAGGGTTGCAAAAGCTTGGTGGGAAATAGTACTAGTGTGGTAGGATTGAGAAGGGAGAAAAGTAGGATGAAAGAGTATTTAAAACTTAAGAACTTTTTATATCACTCCTTGGTTATAACCACCTATTTATAGTTATAGGTATCTATGGATTTCTCTAGAACTTAGACGTTTTCGTGATGCATCTAATTTGTTTCTTGACAATTCTATACATTTCTTATGTTTCTCGTATTCCTTTTGCTTCTTTGGTATGCATAATGCTAATGTCGCAAAGTCATCTGGACCCTCATAGCCATCAGTCATGTTTGATAAGTTATCAAAGCTATTGGGAGATGAAGAGATTCTCCATTTGAAGGCTCCAAGAGTCACATATTTTTCTTCATTAAAAGTGGTACGAAAATTTGAGAGTAGTTGAAAAGAAATGGCGCAGAGGAAGATGATGCTACCATTTAGGTAGTATGAATACAAAGCATATGGTTTCAAGTTTGGTTTTGAGGTGGAATAAGGTTATAATATGAAATTTGTATCAAAAAATGAGCATGATCGAGAATAATAGGACATGGGAGCTGCTCAATCTTCATGGATGTACAAAACCAAATACCAATCTTCATGGATTTACAAACCAAGTACGATCAAGATGGTCCTATTCAGAAGCTGAAGGCACTTTTAATAGTGAAGGGTTTTTATTAGTAACTGAATGTCGTCTTCAATGAGACATTCTCTGTATTTGCTCATATGGAGACCATAAGGACAATTTCGCACTAACTGCTTAGCTCAAGCTTAAAGTGTTTTAGTTAGAGGCTATTTGAAGAAGTCCATGTAGAGTAATAAAAAAAGCTACGTAGTTAAAGGAAAGAAAATAAGGCTTATCAACTGCGCGAAATACTATATGATTTGAAACGAGCACTGGGCGTTTGGAACAACCATATTGACCAACATTTTTGTCAGCATAGACCTAGAAGGATGCTAAGTGATCTAGCTCTCTGTGTGAAGAATAGAAGCAAACTTCCTTATTGGTTGTCTCCCTTTGATAAATTAATTTATTGTGGCACTTAACACCATTGTGATAGAAGAATTTAAAAAAAGTTGGAAGAAGATTTTGAGATGACATATATATGCTTGATGAGATATTTTCTTAGCATACAAGTTAAGCAAGCTGAAGAAGAAATATTCATCAACTAATGAAAATATTATTAAGGTTCTCCAAAGAAGTTCAACATGAATTGCAAACCAATAGCTGCACCAGTATTGAAAGGAAATTGTCAATAAACAATGATGCAAGAAGGTAGGTGCATCTAAGCTATAGAAGTCTAGTTGGATTGTTGATCTATCTTATAGATACAAGACCAAATATATTATACATTACAAGTGTTGTGTTTAGATTCATGGATAATCCAAGCAAGCTACACTATGCTGCAAAGAAGCGGATTTTGTAATATCTTCAAGATACAGAGAGTAGAGGCATCAAGTACAAATATGTAGATGACATTGTACTACCCGACTATAGTGACAAGGGCTAGTCTAGATGTATTGATCGTCATAAGTGCACCTCAGGATATGTTTTCACTCTGGGATCAAATTTAATATCTTTGCTCCTCAAAGAAGTAGCAAATGAAAGATTTTTCATCTGAGAAGCAAATGATTTATCATTTAGAAGCACCGCAGGTGCAGTGACTATGATGAATTTTATCTAAGCTACAGTATAGTTAGGAGTCATTGACTACTTTATAGTGTGATAGCAAGTCCATGATTGCCATAATGAAGAATCCAATCTTCTATGCCAAAACAAAGTGCATTGGGATTCGACATCATTTCATTAGAGGGCTCATTGAAGACGAGAAGATTGAGTTAGAGTTTGTCTCAACTTATGATCAACTAGCAAATAGATATATGAAGGCATTGCTCACATAAATGTTCATATAATTCAGAGACAAGATGAGAATTACAAATTAAGCAAGGATGTTAGAAGTAATAAGTAATTTCAAAATTCTTTATGATAATCTTGTAATATAGAAATCTCTTAGAACAACTAAGAGTTTGAATATGACAACCATGATATATATTTGAAAAGTAAGAGTAGATTACTTTGAAACCTTGATCATATCATGAAAAAATTCTAATTTCTAGAGAATTTCATTGGTGGCTATAAATATTTGATGGATGTAACCATTACGAATGAAACAGTTGAAAGCAATTGAATACAAACATTGATTTTAGATATACAAAGTTTCAACTTACTGTATCCAAGCAATAACAAGCTAATTACTATAGAATACTTTTACATGAGTCCTATTAATACTACCAAATCCACTACAGAATAACCCATTGTTAAATTGATCATGGCTACTAATAATATAATCAAGACTCAAAGATGTTAAAATAGCAAAGGTCTTCATTATTCTCCTATACACCCGATTTTGTACCCTATTTGTTCTTTAACCTGCCAATTTCTTTCTATAAACCTAATCTTTTACCCCTATTTATTTTTAGATCAATCCTCTTAAAAATCATTCTCAAACCTAAAATACTCCCCAAAAGTTATACCTCATTTAATTTTGAGCTTATACACTTCCCTAAATGTTTTTTACTAATAAAACAAAGGCTTTATCTCACCTATTTTTGAACTCACTCCCAAAATCATTCTTGAACAAAAAACTCCATGAAATTATGTTTAAACTAAATGTGGCTTTCAGCAATTTGGCACCCTAAGTTATATTTTTTCTAAGTGGTTAGGCATAAAATTATTTTTTCTTTAACTTGCTATATTTTTTTCAAGTGGTTAGGCATAAAATGTAGCAAAATGCTTAAACCATTTTTTGGGTTTTTTTCACATTAATTTTGGAGATCACACATTGCAGATAAGTTCATTTGTCTATGAACTCACAGATTTTGTAGAAAGAAATTTTTAATTGTAAATCCAAAGTTCTATCACCATTTATTTTAGACCCACCCACTTCCAATGTTACTATGAGAACTAAATTACTTGAAAGAATTAATTTTCGACCTACTTTGTATGTCAGCAGTTGAATACGTTGTAAGCTACTATATTTTGTAATAACTTGCTATACTTTTTGTTCTAAATGGCTAGATATGTGGTTTATTTTCAAATCAAGGAATTTTTTTTGGCTTTTTACATGCTAATGTTGTTGCATCACATGGACCAATTTGCTTGTTTGTTTCTATTTGTCCATCTTGCAGTGAACATTAATGTGAATATAGCCATGAATTATTCGATTCTGATATATGTTAATCATGGATGCCAAGTTATGAACCCATGAATAGAAATTGGAAAGATATCTTCTCACTTATCATTGAGCGTCTATGTTACCTGAGTATTTCTATCTTGAAGCCGTACACATAATCGACATGTACTCGTATCCAAACTCTTTGGACACTCCTTTCATAAATGCATACATTTATTTAGGCATATAGTCAATTAAACAATACATGTTTCAATTTAGAACACTTGTCAAACATTTCATGGATGGCTGGACGTAAACCCTACACTTCACATCTACTTTTTGAAACTCATTGGGTTCCAAACTATGACTTTAATGGTCATTTGGGTGTCTAGTTCAAACAAAAAAAAAAGATTGTTGTTTTACAATTTATAATTCACATAATAAAAGAAACAATAGAAATTTTAATTCTAATAACACGTGAATCAAAAAATATAAATCTCATATAAAGCTATTAATTTCAATATATAATGTGTATATAAATATTTATATAGTTGTCTCTCCGCACCTTACCTTTTACAAATTTCTTGTATCATGTACCCGCACTGGTATAACTACCCGTATCCCTACAACATAGTTGAGCATTCATCTTATTCTTATTGTCTAAGCCTGTCGTATATATGGAACCTTATGATGAATCTTTGTCAACCTATTGTTTGATGGAGCATATGCTACAATAAAAATTTGACAATTTTATATTGTTTGTAAATTAGCCATCAAGAGTCTAAAATTAATGTGAAGTCCAAGCAATAAATATAAGGATTAACTACGGATAGACTTCCTATTGTACCACTTTTTTGAATTTAGCACCCATATAGTTTTGTTTCAAAGGTAGACTACCCAAGCGAAAACTCTTTTAGTCTTAAAAGACCTATTTCTCAAAATACAATTTTCTCTTCCTTTGAGGGTAAAAGGGTAAAAAAAGATTTCAGGTCATTCTTCCAAAAATAGAGGGATAGTAAGTTCAAAACAATAGTACTACAGGCGGTTTATTTGCAATTAACCATAAATACAATAACAAGACAACAATAAAGCTTGTAGCTCAAACTTTTGGTTGAATATATTAAAACTTTCCTTGCATTATGAGGTGGGAAGATAAGGTAATGTAAGGTTCACTGAGGTGCAAGAAGGGATATACTTTTTGTGTTTCTTATTTGGTTGGAGAGGGAGTAAGGGGAGCTACATGACTTTTTTAGTTCATTTTGCATCTTCTCTCTCCTCACTCTTGTGTCCCTTCAAATTGGATTTTGAGGGGAGGGATTTTCCCTCTCTTCATTTTCTAGTTCATTTTGCATTTTCTTTCTCCTTCCCTCACTTTACTTCACCTTACCGTCTAAAAACTCCCTACCAAAGAGGATTTTACATTTTATCCCTTACCTTACTCTACCTCCCCCCTTCAAGTGTCATGTTCTTAATTGAATTAATCTATATTGTATCCTCCTTACTTGCCTTGGTGCTCCTTCATATCCCTTAGAATATATCTAGTTATGTATGTCAGCATTTGCACTTTTACACTTTTCGAACATGGCATTGCTTAATTTCTCTACATTCGGTGCCCCTGAAAAAAAATATTGCGTTACTGTAGCTTCCCTATAAAGTTGTTTCATCATTTAAGGGGTATTTTATATTCACATAAAATTTTAGAAGCACTTATCAAGTCGATTGACTAGAACCCCTTGCAATGTTCCCAACATAGCACAAACGCTCAATAGTTAAAACGGTTTGCTGTTTATTACTGATACATATCTCATAAATATGCTACTTGTATGCGACTATCTTCGCATATAAGCCTCATGTATGCTTATTTTACATCCTTATGTTCTTCTCACAGGAGGAAAAGCTAAGAGATAAACCTGGATATGAACACTTAAGTGAACCATTGCATGTTCTTTTGGAGGCTGAGCTTCCAGCGGACATCATTGATACACGGTTAAGACAAGCTATGAATATCTTAGAAGATCTTTTGAAGCCAGTGGTAAATATGGAAACCAACGACTCATCTAAACTCACAGTTAAAATGTTGACCTGCTAACGTTATATACGTTTATTATGTAGGACGAGTCGATGGACTATTACAAGAAAAATCAGTTGAGAGAGCTTGCGATACTGAATGGCACATTGCGAGAAGAAAGCCCTCAGATGAGCCCCAGTGTGTCCCCATTCAATTCCACCAGTATGAAACGAGCAAAAACAGGAATATAGTTCCAACATCTTATTTCTGACCCTCAGAGATTTACTGCTTTTGTCGTATGGAAATATTCGGTATAACAGTTACTCTTGATATATGTGTGACAAAGCTCCATATTTATTTTTCTGAATTCAACAACTCATAAAGATTTTAATAAATCGGTAAATTTCTTTTATTTGTATGCCTTGATATCTTGAATTCTAAGCACAGCGTCAGCTGAAGACTGAGCAGTCTCTCCTGATCCCTCCTTGATCCCCAATCTTCACTCCAGCCCTCCCAAGCTTAACCATGGCAGCTGAAAATGCCAGCATGAAGCTCCTTGGATCTCTTGCAAACCCGTTCACAATAGGTCTCGATGTAGGATCACCGAACAAAACCTGATCGGACCTGAACAGTCCCCGACCACTCACCAAGTTTGTGAAATATGCATTGTCGAACCTGTTGGGCGTGCTGGGGTCCATGTTAATGGCGACTGATGGGTCTACATTTTGCGGGCAAGCCCGCATGAGCTGCCCAGCGTAGATAGGGTTCAGCGACGGGTCAACGCCGGAAGGGGAGTAGAGGCGGTCGGAGAAGCGGTTGCAGTGGGAGAAACCGACTGTGTGCGCACCAGAGAGGGCGATCATGTCGGTCAGGGTGAGGTTGTTCTTGGCGAAGAGGGAGGTTAGGGGCTCGAGGTTGGAGTCTGGGGATGGGAGGTTGCCCGGGACTCGGGATTTGGATGAAATTCGGCCATATTCCGTTAATACAAAAATTTCAGTCTAGCTGATATTAGTCTTTATCTATGCATCTTTGACTATTTTACAGCTACAGTAAACATATAATACTATTAGTTTTTTATTGTATATTTTATTAGACTCTCAAAAATAAAGACAAAGAGTGAGTCCAAAATTCACCTGAGCCCAAAACTGCGTTGTCGGAAAATCTCAAGGCCCGAAGACCGAACTTTACATGGGATTCATAAAACTTACTCTACCATGTTACCTGATCACTATATGCAACAATATTAAATTCAAGAAATATGTACTCACACAACAATATTGATTTTTTAAATTCCGCATAGAATTTGTTATCAGCAGGATTCAGAAATATGTACTCACACAACAATATTGATTTTTTAAATTCCGCATAGAATTTGTTATCAGCAGGATTCAGATCTAAATTATTTTGATACTTCTTAGAGCCATTGCCACTATAATACCAAAGCTCCGATGTTGTGGTAAAGGTTAAGGGTTATAGTCTTATTATTCAACTTATCAAAATGGTAAAATATTTACAGTAACGTTAAGATATATGTACTATGATTAATGCTTACTAGTGCCACAACATCTCTGGCTGCCATCGCTAAAATATCAGCACAGGAGACTACGCCAGGACAAGCAGACTCGACCTCCTGTTTGGCCTGGATCACAGTGTCGAAGCCATCGCCGGCCAGCGAGAGGTTGTCGTCTGCATCTTTCTCTGCATCTCCGTTTGAGGATGAGATCAGGATTGACGCGTCGCATCCTGCAATTTTTTTTCATGTTCTTGTGCAAGTGATCTTTATGAAGATTGATAGTTTGTATAAAAAAAATCCCTAACAAGGTGTTGCGTAGACATAGGAAATTATGCCGTATAAAGCCATATAAAGAAGACTTTCTATGCTAGGTTGTCTTACTGCTTCTATTATCCGTAACATTATCATTTTGTTTTCTTCCTTCTTAAGCATAGCCTTAATAAAATACCTTGTTATCACTGGATTTTTTAAATAACCAAACTGGTAAAGAGGATCGAATAAAAATACCAATTTAATAATTTAGCCAAAGCAAAATCTATGTACGTTACCGCCTATTGAGGAGCTCTATAAGAGGCCATACCTCAACAAAGCAATCATGCAAGAAGAGCCTCAAGGTGGCCGGAACCGTGACGAAGGTTTGCTTTACCTTTTTCATCACCGTTTGCCTCACGATGAGCTCGACATTTGGACATGTACTCTCATAGAAATTGTGTCTTAGTTGTGCCTCTCCTACATCAATTACCACCAACACCACAATATAAAAGAGCAAGGCTCTCCAAAGCTCCATGTATTTTTTCCCCTAATATTGAGAAGTTTAGACTCTCCCTTATTGTTTATGCAAAGAGAGGAAGGAAAGACTACGCTATTATGGACATTAGGAGTATATATAGTGAATCTTTCAGATTCTTCCCAAAAAAGGGGGAAAAAGAGTAATAGTTGGTTTCTAGGATAAATTTTCAAACCGTCTACAGCTTTGGGGGAAAAAACTACCTATACAGTTTGTTTGGTAGAAAAAATTTCCAGCTGTCTATAGCTTGGGGTGAAAAGCCCCAATATACGACCCTTAGATCAAGTAGAGATATCTTCCAAATCTTTGTATCTTTCTCTGCATCTTTCTCTGCATCTCCGTTTGAGGATGAGATCAGGATTGACGCGTCGCATCCCTGTAAATTTTTTTTTTCATGTTCTTGTGCAAGTGATCTTTATGAAGATTGATAGTTTGTATAAAAAAAAATGGCTAACAAGGTGTTGCGTAGACATAGGAAATTAAGCTGTATAAAGCCATATAAAGAAGACTTTCCATGCTAGGTTGTCTTACTGCTTCTATCATTCTTAACATTATCATTTTGTTTTCTTCCTTTTAATAATAAAGATTATAGTTGGTATTGAAGACATTTACAGATGTACTTCAAACTCTTTTAAGGGAACAAGCAAGTGATCAGTTAAGATTGGTCTTTGCAAATTATGGTTATAAGCCGAATCAAGCAGCACTAAGATTCAAATCATGACTTTGGTTTGGGGATTATACCTAGTTCATTAAGAAAATGAGTCATTCCGTTCCAAAAAAAAAAAAAAAGGGGGGGATCTATGGAAGAAAAACTCGAATGAAGGGATCAATGAAAAGAAAAAAGAAATAGGTCAACTGAAACTATGAAAAATGGAGAGAGCGAGAAGAGGTTTTTGGACCATTGGAAAAAGGGATTGGATTTTAGACGACGAAATGAGAATTGAGTTCTTTTTTAAATCGAATAAATAGAAAGTATTCGAAACTGAATCGAACCGTTCAAAATTGGATCCGTTAAATCGATTTTAATCGATTTAGAACGATTTTAAGGCTTACCCATGCCCAGTTAGTAGCTAAGGAACTGCTTAGAGTTGGCAGTCGGTTGGCTCCAGATTGCGTATTTGTGAAGCAATCAAGTTTCAAGCGGGAGTCTTCTTGCGATCACAAAGTTTTGGTTATCAACTGGGAGGGAAACAGATCAATATTGTTATCGCCGGAATTTTCAAGGAAAATGGTGTGAATTTAATAATTTTAAGAAGTCTTATTGGTCTTATTGGCAAGCAAGACCTTAATAAAATACCTTGTTATCGCCTGATTTTTTTAAATGTACCAAACTAGTAAAGAGGGTCGAATAAAAATACCAATTTAATAATTTAGCCAAAGCAAAATCTATGTACGTTACCGCCTATTGAGGAGCTCTATAAGAGGCCATACCTCAACAAAGCAATCATGCAAGAAGAGCCTCAACGTGGCCGGAACCGTGACGAAGGTTTGCTTTACCTTTTTCATCACCGTTTGCCTCACGATGAGCTCGACATTTGGACATGTACTCTCATAGAAATTGTGTCTTAGTTGTGCCTCTCCTACATCAATTACCACCAACACCACAATATAAAGGAGCAAGGCTCTCCAAAGCTCCATGTATTTTTCCCCCTAATATTGAGAAGTTTAGACTCTCCCTTATTGTTTATGCAAAGAGAGGAAGGAAAGACTACGCTATTATGGACATTAGGAGTATATATAGTGAATCTTTCAGATTCTTCCCAAAAAAGGGGAAAAAGGAGTAATAGTTGGTTTCTAAGATAAATTTTCAAACCGTCTACAACTTTGGGGAAAAAACTACCTATACAGTTTGTTTGGTAGAAAAATTTTCCAGCTGTCTATAGCTTGGGGTGAAAAGCCCCAATATACGACCCTTAGATCAAGTAGAGATATCTTCCAAATCTTTGTATAAGATAGTACGATCGGGATTTTGTACAGTCCTACAAAATTAGCCGGGTTTTTTTAAACCAAATTCACTAGAACAAATTTTTGTTTCCAAGATTATTAGAGAAGTGTTCTATAAGATTTAACTGAGTTTTTAATGTTCATCGGGCAGTACAAAGAAGGAACTGAAGGTCCATAAGCGATATGACGCTTAGGACCTGTTTGGTTATTTCCTAAAAAACCAAAAAATAGAAATAAAAACCAAGAAATCTCAAAAAGTACAATTTTATTTCCTAAAAAACCAAAAAATAGAAATAAAAACCAAGAAATCTCAAAAAGTACAATTTCACACATTTTCATCCCTAAAACTCACCCACAACATCTAATAAAATATTATTTTTATCCAACAACTCATCCACCACATCTAATAAAATATTATTTTCATGCAACAACTTATCCATCACTTCCACCACATCTAATAAAATATTATTTTCATCCACAACATCACTCAACTCATCTCAGCTCATATTTAAAAATCACTCACATCATCCAATGAGATTGTGACAACTCATCTCATCTCATTAACATTTCATTTCTTTGTTTTTCTCCCAAAAAGCTAGGAAAACAATTTCCTTAAGTGTGGGTCACATCATCCAATAATATAATGACAAATCATCTTATCTCATCTATTTTCTTATTTTTAAGAAATAACCAAATAAAAGAAAACAACCTAATACAAGAAATAAGTTTCTTATAATTCATTTTCTTATTTTTTCCGCCAACCAAACAACATCAAAATTAGTTTTCTTAAAAAATCACTCACATCATCCTATAATAAGGTGACAACTCATCTCATCTCATCTTTATTTCTTTGATTTCCTTCTTATTTTAGCCAACCAAACAATCCCAAAACCTATTTTTCTCAGAAATAGGTTTCCTTTTCTTTGATTTCCCTCTTTTTTTCGGCAAACAAACATCCCCTTAATTTCTGTGGAATCAGATCATTTTCAGTATTAAAAATGTATGAAGAGATTTTTCCTTTCAACTATTTATTAACTATTTAGCTAATAGTCGCAATTTGTTCTATTAATTATTGTTTAGGGAGAACGTTGATTTCTTCATTGAGGTAATCATTACAACTTTAGTCGTTACAATGACAACAAAAAAGATAGTCTTTTTATAAGACCCTTACACAAAAAAAAATACAACTCTCGTCAAACAGCTTAACGGGTGTTTATCGCTCGCTGCTTGCGTGGGATCTTGGCCTGTGATGGAGACGTTGATATCCGTGGACCACCAAACGATCAGATCAGATCCGGAGCTTCGTTGATTCACGAAGGAGTCAAGAAACCGAAGCAATTATCTCGACAACAGCGAGATAACCACTCTTCTCGAGATCACCACGAAGGAGTCAAGAAACCGAAGCAATTATCTCGACAACAGCGAGATAACCACTCTTCTCGAGATCACCACAACGGGGCGATCTCAAGGAAAAGAACCGGGCTGCAGATCTATTGAACTCTCCTTCTTTATGCCGAAGAATTCACTGAAGTCTCCTCCTCCTCTCTAAAATTCGTGCTCATTCAGTCTTCAGTTCGGCAGGGCTTCGCCAACGCTCGAGAATTTCGGATCTGAAAAAATAAAGGCCCTGGGGCTGTATTTATAGGCTTCGGGAGTCCTGTTTTCGGATAAGAATGACCGATTCCCTCTTATCCTCAGTCGTAACCACTTAATCACATTCATGGATGATATTTTATTAGTTGGAGCAAATCTAGGCGGTTAACGATCGAAAAACCGTCAAAAACAGCCAAATCTGATTTTCGGGTCTGCAGACACCCGTGGCGGCCAAGCCGAGACACCAAAGAGTGTTTCAGCTAAGACGAGACACCTTGGGGTGTCTCGGCCTGGCCGAGACACCTTGGAGGCCGAGACACCTTTGGGTGTCTCGGGTTGGCCAAGACATCAAAGAGGTATCTTGACTTTGGCTTAGGGTTCGGTCTGTGCGTTCCGACCGTTTTCGTCGTATTTTCATCATCCAAACTCAGAATCACACGATCAAGAATGCGTCGGAAAGCCGACGAGGAGACCTACAAGCTCCCATGATTGAATGATATGTGGAGTAAATGGGACAAGAGGGGCACTTCATCTTTCGTAAGCAACGTGCAGCTCCCGGTTCATTCGTGTTTCCGTTATTCTTAAATTCCGTTGCTTCGCATGGTCTATCGACTTACTTCATGCGTTTGTCATCGTCAAATGAGTTTCTGTGACTCGAATAGTGATGTTCATCATCTTCTCTTTATCTCGAGCCGCGTACGGGGACCTATAGGTAATTTTTGATGCCTACAGTTACCCCCTCCAAAATGTTTCAGTCTCGTTTCTTTTATAGATGAGCCTGAAATACTTTGGATATGATCGGTCCAACCTTCTGTCGGTGTAAAAGGACCTATAGTTATCTTTGACTCTTGACTTCTTCGATTCTCAGTCTATTCAATATCTTAATGAATAACCGAAGTTGTTTTGGCGCTGCGTTTATCGTCTGGCCGTCGTCGAAGTCTCGAATCGAAACTGGTGAGTTGATTTTGGCTAGTATCGTCGAGTTGACTTTGAACTGATTATCTCCATCACAATATATTTACTTACGTCGACTTTCATCGCAATGCGTTGAATGACATTGACCTAGAGTTACGCGTTGACCGGTGTTGACCTAGGGTTTCGCATCGCCCCGCGTTGACTTTACGTCGTAATGCATTGACCGACGTTGACTTTCATTACAACACGTGGTAGTCTCAAGTGTTGAGGTTGCAGGACCAGCTATTAAATGTGATTCATCTGCAGGTATGGATCTTATCCTGAAGTTGTTGGATGCTCAAGTCACGAGACCAACTAATGAAGCTGGTGCGTTAATGACTCTCACATGTATAGGATTTTTGGCAAACCCTCAGCCATCAACGGGTTTGATGAGCTTTTACCAACTACCATTTGAGTCGGGCTAGCATGCAGATTGTTTAAGTCCGTTTCGTATGTAACATTATGCTAAAAGAGTTAATTCTTTTAGTGCTACGATATTGAATACGTAG